GAAGAAAAAACCTAAAATATTGGTGGCCTTACCATATATGATGGTGACAAAAACAATAACCACCTCATCCGAAGTCTCCAAAAAAAAAAAAAAAAAAAAAAAAAAAAAAAAAAAACTTTCATCTGCTCATTTTCTTTAATTCCGCTGCAATTACATGTCCAGCAACTTTTGTTCTGTGTATATCTATATGTAACATACATACTAGATGAGAACTAAATTTGCAGCACTGAACTTTTGATACACGAGAGAATGGGCAAAAACCAACATTTAACACTTTATCTTATAAAATTGGTAAATTTTAACCCCTTATTTTATAATATGACAATTTTATTTTTTTATCTTATAAAATTTGTAAGTTTTAACCCTTCACCTTACAAAGTTAATATGTTTTAATTCATTACCTTATATTATAATATTTTTAATCCCTCACGGATACAAATTAAAGAAAATAGCTCTTACTTAACATCAAGTTATAACGTTCTGTTAGTTCTGTTAGTTGACTGTTAACATCCGTTAGCATTCCGTTATAAAAAACATGAAATTTAAATTCAATATTATTTGTTAGTTCCATTAACAGAATGCTAACGGATACAAACAGTCAACTAATAGAACTAATAGTCAATTAATAAAACTAACAGTCAGTTAATAAAACTGACAGTCAATTAAGAGAACTAATAATTAGGTAACAGAATTAATAAAACGTTATAATTTGATGTTAAATAAGAATTATTTTCTTCAATTCGTATAAATAAAGGGTTAAAAGTATTATAATATAAGTTGATGGGTTACAACTTACCAATTTTGTAAGATAAAGGGTTAAAAGTGTCATATTATAAGGTTAAGGGTTAAAACCTATTAATTTTGTAAGGTGAGGGGCTAAAGGTTGGTTTTAGCCTGAGAGAATGCGGGGAGATAGAGAGAGTGAGCTACAGTGCGAGCTGTTTTCCAAAATCAAAACAGCACGGCGATTGTCAACCCAGTAGAGAAGATACAGTGAGATTCTCTTTTCCTTTTGAAAATGCTACATCACCAGCAGCAGTACCCAGTCCATCCTTTCGTGAAGATATTGCTATCTCCTCATCCTTAATCATGTTTAGAACCATTCCTGCCGTTGTACCCCTACCGGATTTTACTTGTGGAGGCAACAATCTATTTGAAACAGGTGGACTTGACCTCTATGCCCCGGCAATTTGAAGGCAGAAGCAAGGGACCATTGGACTTCGGAGCCTTGAGAATGCAAAATCTATCACACCCTGTTAATAACAAGTATTTGTTACAGTTCAGCTCACCAAACTCAAGGGGAAATTACTAGCAAAAACTAGAAAAAGTAGCTCCTAGATTCTGGTTAAGTGCACAACACTCACATTCAATCATTGGGCAATGAGGAAATCTTAAAGAGATCATAACTGGATATCAACTCAAGCACCAAGAACCAGAAAAGAAGAGTACAAAACTGAAGTTTGTAAAACCAACAAGTGCATTGTCCAAATTGCACAGCGGTAAGATAAAGAAAAAATTTACAAAAATTTAGTGTATTTGGGAATGGGATGAAAGTTTACGGAAATTATGCCACCTCATTGGAAGTGAATGTCCCACTGATTGGAAATCAAGAGATCAAACAACGAAAACCTAAAACCTGTTCAACACCGAGAAGTACCAAACCACTTTATTTATCAAATATTTTTAAAATCAGACTAGAAAGCTCAGATTAGTTGAGCTATCGACTAAACACCGCAGAGCGGGGCGGTTTAGCGCGGTGGTTTAGCTTGTATAGTAACTAAATACACACA